ATTTTTGGTAATATTTAGGAGTATTTTTACTCAGCAGTCAAATCGCTAGCAAGTAAACTAAGGCCATTCACAGTAAAAAACGAGAAGGAACTAGTGGCAAACAGTTTACTAATGCCGAAAAATTGAAAGATAACTTCTTTGCTAATTCTGAAAGAAGAAGAAAAGCTGGCGATAAAGCTAATGGTGATGCAGGATACTGAATTAAAGGAAGATGTAACTGAGGCGGATCACATAATTTAATGGAAGATTGTGAAGCATTAGCTCAATTTTTTAACGCTACTGCTAGTATATCTGATGATGTAGAGCAAATTAAATTATCAGCTAACGAACAAATATTCAACCAAAAAAAACAAACCTTAACTAGTAAAATCCAAGGACTTATTAGCAAATGTCAAACTTCTAACAGTTATTCCATTGCTAATATCTGTTGTATCTGAAATGATTATTTTGGTAGTTTTTTAAAACCTTTTTTGAATACTTTTTCAAATAAACTGCAAAGGCAATTAAGAGAAGTGCAAAATTTAGATCCTAAACACCAAAAGGACTTATTAAAATTAGAGACAGAAGCGAAACAAGCAGAGAATGAATACAAAGAAAACAAAGCCAAAGCTGACCAAGAAACAGATCCTGATAAAAAGGCTCAGTTTATGTATCTAGCCAACAAAGCAGCAAAAAAGGCGGAAGATATTAAAAGAAGAGTCAAAGCAAATCCCCTAGCAGACTTAAGCCGATTTAGCAATTTAGATGATTTAGAAATACTTTTAGGAGGTAATGTTCCAAAAAATCCTCCCACTTCTAGACCAAAGCCGAGCAGCAATAGTAGCGGAGGAAGTACCCCAACTCCTAATCCCTTAGAAGACCCCAAAGACTTTTTTGAACAATATAAAACTCAAATCTTTATCAGTTTAGCACTGTTAGGAATAATTTTTTACCTTTACACCCAAAAAGAAGAGGAAAACGAAGATACTAAGAAATTGTCTCAACAAATGATGCTGATGAGAACGATGAATAATAGCAATAAAATCAATGAAGAATAAACATGAAAAAGAAGCAACAACAACAGTTATTAATAGTGCTTTTGTTATGTGCTGGAGGCTATTATTTTTTGGTTTATTTACCAGAAGAAGATAAAAATAAGACGGAAAAGGAAAAACAACAAACTCAAAATAATAAGTCTGAGGAAGAATTAAAAGCCGAACAAGAGGAAGACGCCTGAGATAAAGGAAGAATTTGAGAATTAGAAGCATGTAGTTGAGCTGACCGAATAGTAAAGTCTAAAAGTGCTTCATTAACTGGACAATATCAAAAGATGTCTAGTTTGTTTACTGATGGAGATAGAAATCCAAAATTTTACTTTTCTCGTTCTGCCCCTTACCGAATATACTTCCCCCCCGCTCTACGAGAATATTATGACAAAGGTAAAGAAACAAAAGATGATAAATTTGGAGACAAATTATTTATGCTAGAAGAAGAGGAAGAGTTGATTCTATCAGATGAAATTAGTGAATGAATAACAGAAACAGTGAAAGACCCAACAAAAGGAAAAGTAGATAAAGATAGTAGAGGAAATAATGCTTTGTTTTACGGAACAGAGGGAACAGGCAAAACAGCTACCATGAAAAATGTCTGCATCAAAGCCAATATGTATCCTTTAGTAGAAATCAAAGGTTCTAATTTAACTCCAACTGAATCAGATCAGTCAGCTGAGATATTACCTTTACAGAAATTTGCTTACACTCTTAGCGAATTAGAGTGGAATTTGGTTAAAGAGTGCGGTTTCGAAAGAGAAGAAAATGGAGAAGTTAGATACATACTTTTCGTGGATGAGGCTAATCAGATTAGTAATAATTCTGGCTTCTTTCAACCTAACCAATTACGCTTTTTAAAAGACTGCATGGAAGGAATAGACAAAAAAGAAGTAAGTAATAATTTATGAGTATTTGCCACTAATCATTTAGATCAAGTAGAAAAAGCTACTTACCGTAAGGGAAGATTAAGCAATCCCTTAGATTTTAGTTGAACATGAGCAGAATTTGTAAAACACGCTCAGAAAGCTGGTATTTATGAACAGTTTCCAGAAAGATGACAAGAAGTAAAGGGATTATGAAATCCGGAAGATGACAAATGAATAAGTGATTTTAATATTGATATATTCCAAAAGGATTTCTTGGGAGATGACCCTAGCCAACCTACTAAACCAAGATTTTGAGACTTGTTTATCGAAAATAATCCTGATGCTCAAACAGAAACGGAAGATGATGAAACAGATGAGGATGGTAATCCGACTGGTAATAAAGTAAAGTTAGATATTGAAATAGGTGAATTTTTGGAGTTCTTTTGGGCTGTAAAGAAGAGAAATATAATGTCTTATGACGGTAGTTTTGAGAGTATTAAAAAAGAGACTATAGAAAGAGTGCTAGATACTCGTTTAAGTGATATAATTGAGGTAATTAATGATAAACTAAACGAATTGATAGATGAAGTAAATAAATCTAGAACGGAAGGAAAAGAGCAAATAATGGATGGCATTGATAGAATAATTAACAATTTAGCTAATAGATAGTAATATGAATCAACAACAAATTAAACAACTAGAAACCAAAATAACCAACATACAAAGCATTATAAACAATTGAAAACAAGAAATTATGAACTACGAAATTACATTAACAAAAATTAAAAAAGAAGTTGCTGAACTAAAAAGCAACTCTAAGAATATCAAATAACATGGGAATCTGAAAAGGAATTTGTACTTGTGTTGGTTGTGTAGCGGCAGTAGGTATTTGTGTTGCTAGTGCTGGAGCCGCTACTCCTTTCGTAACTGCCGCTGCTGCTCCCTGATTAATCGGAGGAGGCACTGCAGCTGGTTTTCTGATTGGTGATAAAGCAGATAAGGAAAGTGCCGAAAGAGAAAAACTGCTGATGCAAAACCAACAGTATAAAGATGCTAAGCATGAATTGGATACACAAATAAACAATAACAATCAAACACAAAATCAAATAAACGATATTGTGGGGAAAATAAATGGCGTTATCCCAAAAAAACCACATGAAACTGATGAATACTTAAATACTCAGTTAGCGATACTAACAAGCAACCTCAGAAATGGTGAAAGTAGATTAGATAAACTAAGAAGTGAATTAGATAAGTTAAGAAAAAGTTTAGGAGGCAACAGCAATTTAATGAGTTTACTAGGATTAGACAAATTATCTTTCACTGACAAAGTAATGATTGTAGCGGCAATAGTATTGTTGGTTTGGTTATTGAAAGGTTAGACAAGAAAAAAACAAAATGAAAGAAATAGGAATATTGCTACTTTTGGCAAATTTTAGTAATTTCGCAGGAGTGAAAATCACAGAAATATGCTTAAATAATACTAATACAATCATTAGAATTATGCATAAAGGACTGAAAAAAAAGCAGAGGGAAAAAAAAGAAAGATTTAGGAATGACTGATGTTGATATAGATGAAGAAATAACGGATTTTGAAAAAGCAAGAGAAAATTGTATGAAAATTTTGAAATCACACTATAACGAGAGGGAAAAAAACAGACAACTAGAACTAGAAAAATTATATGTTCCAACTCTTCTCAGGAATAAACTTTCTTCCCAACCCTCATTTAACTTTTCTCTAATTACGAAAATTGCAATAATAATTGTGATTGTTTGACTTATTCTCAAAAGATAAAAACAATAAACATAAGTAACAACTGAGGCTTTTTTTTGTAAAACTATAACATAGATAAAAGTATTTAGGTTATCAACATGGACAGAAGTGAGGCTAAATGGTTTGTTACTAACAATTCATCCAAAATTAGGAAGCAATTAGAACAAATAAAAAAAATAACTAATTCTGAAACACAAAAAAGAGAAGCTAAACTAGCCTACAATTATCATTTGGAAAATTTACGACAAGTTATCTCTTATTATGAATCATATGAATTATGAAAAGAAGGGATTGATTTAAGTGAGTATGATAGTAAAATAAGAGAGTTAGGAAATTTGTGCGGTGAGGAGATTAAAATCAATCAAAGACAAAATCAAACAAATCGCCTTTCTCATTGCTCTCAGTGTAGTAAAAAGAGCAATCTTTATCATTTTATTTGAGACAAAAGAACGAAAAAACTAGAAAAAAGTTATAATAATGCCACTGACTCAAAAAATCACTGAGTTTTTTGTAATCAAAATTGCTTTGATGAATGATATAAAAAATGATGATCTTCTTTCGAAGATGAGTTAAAAAGTTTTACTTGTAAAAATTGTAAAAACAAATTTCAAGTTGAGCGAGAATATAAAAGAGGTAAAGAAATCACTAAAAATTATGATTGTTGTTCCCAACAATGCCTCAATTCCTGAAATCAAAATAATTTAAATAAAAAACAATGTTCTGGCTCTAACTGTTCAAACTTACTTACTAGTGAGGAAATTTCCTATTGTTCTCCTTGCTCTGCTAAGCAAGACCAAATTTGGAAGAATTTAGAAAAAAATCAGCAAGATATAAATAACATGGTCGGTGATTTTCAGAATGGACTTAATGATTATGTGGAAAATCAAAGAAATAATTCTGATAAAGGTAAAGGAGATGATAATAACTCATTAACCATACAGCAGAGAGAGAGAGAGAGAGAGAGACAATCTCACTCAACAAGCACAATTACGTTCGCAAATCAGTTCCTTAGAACAAAATCTTAATAAAACCCCAACTCAGCAAGCAGATTTAACTAAAAAGAAAGAAAAATTGCAAGAGTTAGAAAAAGCACTTACTAAATCTTTACCTCTATCTACTCAGATTAGTATTTTAGAGAGAGAAATAAAAAGTTTAGCAAGTAAATCTACTCGCACCCAAGTTGAGGAAGCACTTTTAACAAGTAAAAAGAAACAATTGGCGGAATTATTGAAAAAACAAAATAATTCAGATGCTAACTCTACTAAACCTAGTGATAAAACTGCTTTTTATATTGGACTAGGAATGGGAGGAGTATTTTTAATCCTTGGTCTCTTTATCTTAATCAGAAGAACCCGCAAAAGGCCTCTTTAGGCCTAAGAATAAAAAGAATAGCAAATTAGAATAAATTAAAAATCAATTGCTACCTGATTTGTTATAATTGGGATTAGGTTCCTAAGTAGTGATTGTGAAAAAACATAATTCTATCAAGAAATTAATTTAAAACATATGACTAACTGAAAAGAAATACACCAGAATTTTACTCCAGAATTGCAACAAAAATGAGAAGAAGAAGGTTTTACTTCTCAAGATGCTCAAGCCTGAATTAAGGCAGGATTTGAACCTGATGGCTTATCTTATATTCAAACCTGAAAAAACCTTAATTTTACTGCTGCTGAACACCAAGAATGAATAAATATTGGTTTAGATAAATATCTAGATTATGATTTAGCCTATTACTGCAAGTCTAAGCAACTTGCTCCCGCAGAAGTTAAAGATAGTTTAAAATATAGATATAAACTAGCACAAGAATTGCAGTCAACTCAAGCCTATCTTGATTTTTTTTATCCCTTAACTAACCGTAGTAAAATTAAGAAGTTAGATTTTATTGAAAAAGACTTAACTGGTGACTTAAATTTAACTGGGTTTGATAATTTAACTGAACTTGATTGCTTTCGAAGTAATCTAACTAACTTAGATTTAAGTGATTGTTCATCTTTAACTAAACTTGATTGCTCTGATAATAAACTAACTAATCTCAACTTTATAAATACTTTACCCTGTCCAGAAAAATTAACTAACTTAAATATTAATTCTAATAAAATCACTAGTAATTTAACTCCCCTTAGTAAATTAGTTAATTTGCAGGCGTTAAATTTATTTAATAATTCTTCTCTTGCTACTTCCTTAGCCCCTTTGCAACACTGTTTAAAGTTAGAAGGACTTGGTATTAGTAGTACTAATCTCACTCCTGATCTGCAATATTTACCACTTAGTTTGTCAAACATTAGTTGTGATGGTAAAATTAAAGATGAATTAGCTCTTTATGGTAATAATCTAATGATTTGACGAGCCAGTCATCCAGAATTAATGCAACAAGCTGGTAAAAAAAAAGTAGTTGACAATAATGATTATCGCCAAAGTGAATTAAAAACCGTAATTACTACTCCCAAATATTTAACTGAACATTCAAAGTCAACCACTGAGCCAGTGGTTAATTGCCAACTAGACTACTCCCAATTTATTCTCCGCGATAGTCGACCTTTTTCCTGAGAAAAGACAACAAGTGAACAGGCGATAACTCAAAAATTACCCTTTAGACTTTATAATATTGAAAAAAACAAAATAGAAAAAACTGAAGGAAAAGTAGGTAGATATGCTGTTCTTTCTTATGTTTGAGGTGATTCTAATGATCCTAACAACAAATTGCTAGAAGGAGAAAAAGAAAAAATAGATAAAATATGAGACAAAGTTGAATATCATAATCAAGTAAATCGTTCTGGTTACAAAGCTTGAAAAAAAGCTATTGAGGCTTGTAAACAATTAGGTATTAATTATTTATGGATGGATCAATTATGCATTAATCAAGCAAACACCAAGGAATCCATCGAAGAAAAAAATCAAGAAATTCCTAAAATGAGGCAGTATTATGGTAATGCTAGTGCCGCTTTAATTGCTATTGATGATAATGTTAAAGAAGAGTGATGAGAGAGTGAAGCAGAATTAGCTAAAGAGATTATTCAACAAATAGTTACCTCACCTTGATTCACTCGGGCTTGAACTTTCCAAGAAGGATTACTGAGCAAGCAAACTATTTTCATGTTCGATGATAAAATAGTGGATGGTCGAATATTAGTTAATTATTGAGGAGAGATACAAGAAATTAATATTTATGGAATTAACTTAAAATCTACTCCACCTATTTTTATCACTCCCCTCGGTTGAAGTGCTGGTGCTCAACCTAACCAAAAAATGGAACTAGGACTAAATCAAGCCCTAATTGCAGTTAAGCATCGCGGACAAACGGTGCCCTTGGATGGTCTTTACTCCATTTTAGGTTTATTGCCTTACGGAAATAAAGTAGAAGTTAATTATAAAAGTAAACTCTGTCAACATAGTGCAAAAGAACAAAAACATTGTTCACATCCTGAAGTAACAGGAGGAGTTTGACCTACTTATACCCAAGAAGAATTAAATATTGAACTAAAAAAAATAATGGAACTAGCAATGGCTAATGGCGCTCCTTATGAATGTCTCTCTTGGTTAGGTGCTCGACACATTAATCCAAAATGGTGAATGATTCCTCCTCTCAAAGAAAATGGTTCTAGTAACATTACTGGTTTTGTTGAGTGACAGCTCTATGGTAGCAAAGTATCAGCTACTGGTTGGGAATTGGTTGGTTACAAGTATTTAGTAACAGAAGATGATAAAAAAACTGGAGAAAAAATTGGTGATATTAGAATCTTACCTAATTATAATTTTTTAGAAATTACTCTTCCCGTTGCTGATAAAGCTACCCGACCAATTGTTTTTGAGGATCCAAGTTTTGGTTATGATTACGATGATAAACTCTTCCTCGATATGGTCAATAAAGAACTAATTACTGGCGAGGAACTAATTACCCAATATCAGCAGCAATTACCAGTTATTCAAAGACAGAACCAATCTTTTAGTTTAGTTTATGATAAAAAGGGTGATAATGTAACGGTTAATAATTCCTTGGTTTGACAGATTCAAGGGCAATATTATCTGGTAGTTAATGAACAATTACAAGCAATAGATAATCTTTCACAAGCTCAAGTTGAAATCTCTCCCAAATAACATGACTAAAAAAGTATTCCTTGGTGGCGCTGCCAACAATTCCACTTGAAGACAAAGAATTATTTCCCTTATTAGACCAAACAAAAATCTCTTACTTCAACCCAGTCGTAGCTGATTGAAATGAAGTTGCTCAGCAAAGAGAAGAAAAGGAAGTAAGTTTCACAGAATAGGGTTAGTAGAATTAGGAAGGGGAGAAAAGGAGTTGGGAGGAGCAAAAATAGATGACTTAACAATCGGAGTAAATGACAATAAAGATGATCAATTTCAACAACACCAATCCCAAATCCCACCCAAATAAAAAAGGGGAGCCAAAAACTCCCCTTATCTAATAAGCATTTATCCTTTAATATTTACTAGATAATTACCTTTTCAATATAAAAACCCTATCACTTTCAAAAACCTTTTAAAAATAAAACATTTTACTAAACAAAAACTAAATTCTATGAATAAAGAAGAAATAAATAAAGAAATCCTCATTAAATTTAAAAAATATTTAGAAGCAAAAGAAGTTTTCCTCAATACCCGATGAATAACTATTGATAATTTGCGAAAAATTTGTAATGAATTAGAAACTTCCGTCAATATCGGCAAGCATGCTAAAATTGAAGAAAAAGGCAAATTAATTAGTGCTGGCGGAAACGCTTTCAATTCATTAACTTTTGGAATTATCAAGGCTTTGGGAGAAGCAATCCAATCAGTGAATGTTTTTTCTAAGAGAAAGCTTTTGACTAAACTTAGTGGGGAATTTCAGAAACATTTGGCAACTGATGAAGCCAATTTAAAGCTTTTTGCTAATGCTTGCTTCTCTTTAGTTGACATTGTTAAAAAAAATAAAGAATTAGGAATTGGTTCTGACGTTATTGGCAATAATTGGGTTGGGGTTGATAGTTTGAGTGCTGTGGTCTTGGGTTAATTTAGTTGATAATTGCTTCTGCTGGGGTCGGTAAATAAAAAAGTAGTAAAGTAAAGCAATTATTAGGGCGTAAAATAGTAAATCATTCATGTTATTTTTGGTAATATTTAGGAGTATTTTTACTCAGCAGTCAAATCGCTAGCAAGTAAACTAAGGCCATTCACAGTAAAGGTGCGTAATCATCTCAGTAGTTAGTAGTGGTCAGCTTTTGGGGAGTAATTGCAACTGGTTGGTTGGCTAATTCACTCTCTAAGGATTGTTTCTGTTGGTAATAATCGCCAAACTCTTTAATCTTACTGAGCCGGAGTTCCAGAATTTGTTGTTCTAACTTTTCTATTTGCGTTTTTAATTCACTAATATTCTCTTCCGGAGCCTCGACAAAAACTTCTTTTTCTTCCAATGCTTGAATTCGCTTTTTTAAAGCCACATTCTCAGCTTGGCAAGCCGTTAATTCGGTATTATTTAAGGAGGGAACGGGTGGAGCAGTGGGAATAGCTCCGTCTTTATTAAAAGCCGCAGTATTGCTGGGCAATTCCCCCACACTCTTACTTCTTTTTAAATGGCTCGGTTTGATGCCAGGTTTAACTTTGGCTGTTAATTCGGCTTGTAATTGGTCTTTAGTCATGTTTTTCATTCAAAAACTCGGCTTTTAACTCCTTTTTATTTCCCGTATTTAATA